CTATTAACGTCATCCGTCCACAAGAATCTTAGGCTGTCTCTGTCCTTTGGGTTGACTTCCACGTTGAGGAAAGCCTTCTCAATGTCTGCTACTAATGCTATCTTCTTCGACCTAAACCTCAGGAGTACGTTATAAAGTAATGGAGCAAGCGCCGGTCCTACGTGTAGACAATCATTCAATGATACTCCCCCCTTAGCGTCCTTTGAAGACGCGTCGTACACCACTCTTACCTTCGTTGTTTTTGCGTCTCGCCTAATAACCGCGTGATGAGGCAAGTAATGGACCTTATCAGCAAAATCTAAATTTGTGACCCTTTCTATTATACCAACCTCTTCTTGTTGTTTGATGGTGTTATTATATTCAAATAACACGTCCGGATCTGACTTTAGTTTATTCAGCTGTCCCTTTAACCTGTTCAAGCTATTTCTATAATTATTATTAAGCTTTTGGTGGCCTTCTTTCCATGGTAGGGATACCTGATAACGTTCTCCRTTGAACACTATATCATCCTTCAGAGCTTCGTGAACTTCATCTTCTGGTTTTATCCCGAGAGTTTCAAAGTCCCATAACCTACTTAATTCACCTTCGAGTGATGTAACGCAATCCGTACTTACCGTGCACGCGATGTTTTCTTTGTCTCGATTATCCGGACATTTAAATGGGCCTGATAAAACCCATCCCAACCTGGTTTCTATCGCAACAGGATCGCCTGGATTGCCACGTTTTGTATTTCCCGTTTGAAACTCCCACAAATAATCTGCTCCTATCAACAAACCGATCTTTAAGTCACTCTTACATCCCCCGACATCTGACAACCACAAATCCTTCAAATGTCCATACTCACCTTTCACGACCTCTAAATTATCTCTTGTTACTTTGGATATTTCCGGTACTACACAAGCATGGACTTTTAACCCTTCTACCCTCCCCCCAACGGGCATGACAAACATTTCCACAACATCCCTTAGTTGCGGTTTTCCTTCATTCCCCCCAAAGGTACTTATGGTCAACCATTTCTTGCCCACGACCTTGAGTCCCAGAGAATTGACTACCCGAGGGGTGACAAAAGTCTTTTGACTACCTGAGTCAAACATAGCCCTTACTTTGCCCTCCCTTTCTCCCTTAACCAGGGCAATCGCYGTCTGAAGCGCAATCTTTTCAACACCAACATTCATCACGATAGCRCTCGGATCACTCTCAATGTTTTCATCACTCACGCTTTCGGTCGCCACGTGCGTTGCGTTCACGCTCTCTTTTACACTCTCCTTCACAGAACACCCACTTTCATTCGCTCCTTCACAAAGTGAAACGTGATGATCGCCACCACATGTTTTACACTTGATATTAAATTTACACTCCTTAGCTCTGTGTCCCTTATTTAGACATTTAAAACAACGAGCATATCTATAGATTAAAGTCTTACGAATTTTTAGATCCTTGACTTCTTGGMAATCTTCTGACTTGTGGTCTTTTAAACAATACGCGCAAGCCATCCTGGTATCCTTTTGTGCCAACAACGCCGTTGCGGTATATGGTTTGGCGATAGGCGCACCCTTCCTGTCATATTGTGGTCCGCGCTTGACATTCTCCTTCGTTGATGCCATGGCCTGATGTTGTTCTTTTAGTTCCAATTCGGCTAAAAAAAACCCTTTAACATGTCGTTCATGTTCCACGTTAGAAATTCGCATCCCCTTGTTATGGTCAGCCTAAATGATTCAGGCAACTTCTCCATTATGGCCGGCACAACAATTGCTTCGTATGACCGTTCGTTAACGCCCAGTGCTTTTAGTCCCCTGAAATGGGTTTCGCATTGGTCGTACAGCCTCCTCAGTCGTGAGATATCGCGGTCATTGAAGACGGGTTGTAGATTCATCAGCTCTTTGRTATGTGCTCTCTGAATAACACTCGTGTTCCCGTATCTATTCCTCAGTAGTTCAACTGCGGAACCATAGTTGGCCGCTGTCAGCGAAAACCCTGCTATGGTTGACTTCGCTGTTCCCTCAAGAAGCCCACGGAGATACGCGAACTTATCGACATCAGAAAGTTCTTCGTTCTTGTCGATAGAGCTCTCATACGTGTCCCAGAACTCTCGCCACTTATGAACAGTTCCATCAAACTTTGTTACCTCCAACTTCGGTAACTTTACTCTGTTGACTTTGTGAGAAGTCGAAGAGTTGACTGACTCGTTTAGACTCGGGACTTGAGGTACACTCTGCTTGGAAATCCTCAATTCGTCTAGCTTTATAATTAACTCGCCGATCTCTGCACTGCATTCGTCGCATTCTGCTATTTCTTTTTCGATGTCAGCTTCTTCGACATCCATCAGTAGCTCCAATACTGCTTCGTTTAGTTTCTTAAGCGTTTCTCTTTTTTCCTTCAAGCTATCAATGCTTTGAAGGATCCACTGAACATGATTGTCTTCTGCATTCTCTTCGGACAATCGTTCTTTCACTTTTAGGACCAACTTCGTTGCCACTCCCCGATGTCCTGCTCTCATTCTTTTCTTTTTCGTTAGTTCTTCGGCNGTCGCATTCTGCTATTTCTTTTTCGATGTCAGCTTCTTCGACATCCATCAGTAGCTCCAATACTGCTTTGTTTAGTTTCTTAAGCGTTTCTCTTTTTTCCTTCAAGCTATCAATGCTTTGAAGGATCCACTGAACATGATTGTCTTCTGCATTCTCTTCGGACAATCGTTCTTTCACTTTTAGGACCAACTTCGTTGCCACTCCCCGATGTCCTGCTCTCATTCTTTTCTTTTTCGTTAGTTCTTCGGCYATGTTGTCTCTTCTTTCAATTTATATCCGGCTCGAAGGACCATGTGTCGCAGAATTTTCCAGCTCTGCGCAGCTAAAGGGACTGTATACGTTCGTTTTCGTTCACTTCTTTATTCAATGACGTTCAAACACAATCTAAATTAAGTTTACAACTCGTGGTTTACTTATACTAAGCTATACAGGATATGAATCATGCTACATCTGTTGTTTATAGAGATTAATAGACAATTCCTTTGCGTACTTCCTAATTGACAGTTTCTTTGTTATTTACGTYGATTACTAAAATGCCTTAAACCCACATTTACAATTTGACAAAATCTAGAAAAAACACAAATTTGTCTCTCCGACAAAACATACCAACTCGGCTGTAAAAAGACTAGGTTTCGTTTTGCGTTACAATAATCATGCAAATTTGCAACATTGACATGTTTCCAAAAATGACGAAATTTTGTTCTTTCGAAAAGAAGGGAACTTCAAAATGACGAAATATTTCTTTTAGCATAGCTACACTGAATTTTTGAAGTTCTCCGCTGCGCAAGCTGTCGCACAGACAGTATGTGTCAAAATAAATAGGGTGCCTTGGCCCAAGTTCTGCAGCAAGCTCATCCAATAGCCTCAGCCGTTCATCTTCCTCAGCTTCTGCGATTGCTTCTCCAAGATCTTCTAGGTCTATATCTTTGTTGTTGAAAAATAACCTTGGACCTGACTCTTTTTAAGCCATTCGCTTCTATGGCGCGCCGAAGCGGACAAAAATACTTGTTTGTAAAATATACGACTTTGTTCGAAAATATAATACTTCTTTTGTAAAAACATACGACTTGTTTCAAAAATATAATACTTCTTTTGTAAAAACATACGACTTGTTTCAAAAATATAATACTTCTTTTGTAAAAACATAGACTTGTTTCAAAAATATAATACTTCTTTTGTAAAATATACAACTTGGTTCGAAAAATAAGACTTGCTTGTAAAATATACAACTTAGTTGAAAATATAATACATGTTTTGTAAAACGGTACGCGCCGAAGTGGACAAAAATACTAATTTTGTAAAATATGATACTTGTTTTGTAAAATGCATATTGGTTCCAAACATATTGTACTTCTTTAGTAAACTATATGACTTGTTTCAAAATATAAGACTTGCTGTTAAATTTATAACATGTTATAACTTGTTTCGCTATGATATAAGATACGAAGGCCCACGGTTATTTGAGTCAGCGGATTTTAGTTCGAGAAAGACTGGAACTAGCAATTTTCCCGCCATTTGCCCAATCTCGAGCCGATGGCAAAAGTGCGGGCTCTGGGTACGAGATCGCCATGTTTGTTTGCCATCTTTGTGCAAAATGGCTGAACAGATATTAAATCGACTTGTAGAAGCAGTTAACTCACTGAAAGAGGGCAAAAAGGAGGAAAATAATGACGATTCTTTGAAACAGCTATTCCCAAGTGTTCGTGGCAAAGCTTCTAGTAGCTCGGGATCGGAAGCAAGCCTATCAAATGCGGGATGTCGCCGATCAACGTCGTCTGGCACGTCCTTCAATCCTAGTGTCAATTATGGTAAAGCAAAAGGCAAAAAAAGAAAGTTAAATAGCAACAACAGCATGCCGTGTAAAACTGTTTTGAAAAATGTTATTCTTTTGCCTTCGCCTAGAATGGAAGACGTCCCACGTGGAAAGTTTCGCGAGGTTCTGTATTCTAATAATTTTGCTGTGACAATGGAATTACCATTAGACGGCGACGAAGATATTAGCAGTAGTTTCGACAAACTATTCGAATCAAAATTACTTTGTTGCCCAGAACCGAAGTTCAAACTTGTTAGAGCAATCGGGAGCAAGCTAATAGCAGTAGAATCTGTTAGGTTGACTGGGAAGGTTGTGAAGTATGTTTCAAAGCAAGGCCCTGTCTATCTGAGAGCCACGACAGAAATTCCCGATGACAACCTAAAGGTTTTCTATGCTGGATACAATCAAGAAGATGATGAATCAGAGAGTGATGATGGTGATAAAGTTTTGATGAAGTCTGCTCTTTCTGTGAAATGTGGGGAAGGAACTGAGTTATCAGACAAAAAGCAGTCAAAGAGGAAAAGGCAGGTGGTTATTAGTGACAACGAAAGTGAGGCCAGTACAAGTGGAATAGCTCCTAATAGTAATGATTCCAAGTCAAGCCATGCTCCTTTACAGAACAAAGCAAATGAATCTGTAAAGAACAAACCCRAGGAATCTGAAGTTGCAATTGGATATATGGCATATGTCAACATGCTAGAGTCAAGTGATAGTGAGAATGATGAAGATTTGAAAGCTGCTATTCAAGCAAGCTTGGAGTACATAAGAGAAGGTGATGTCCAACCTGGGACTGAAATCAACCCAACTAATTTACTCAAACAGTTTGTGGGTAGTCTGGACAATATTGACTCATATGTTAATATTGTAATAAGTCTAAGATATGTCTTGTCTAGTACACTGAGGGCAATTGAAAGGGGCAAATTCTCTTTTTTACMACCAGTGAACATAACTTTCTCGGGTGAAGACGGAGTTGATTCTGGAGGACCAAAACGGGAGTTTTTTCGCCTTTTGATGATGTCAATGAGAAACCTTGGAGTTTTCAATGGTGCTTGGTTTTCCCATGACGTAGAACTACTCCATGCAAAGAAATACGAATTGGCAGGAAAGTTAGTGGGGTGGAGTGTTCTTCATGGAGGTCCGGGACCAAAGTGCCTTTCTTCAGACGCATTTTGTGTTACTAGAGATCTCCCATTTGATACCAGTAGAGTAATTGAAGCTGTTAGTGATGAAGAARTCAAAGGCGTACTGAAAGATCTGTATGCATGCACAAGTGAAAAGGATTTCAATGACATTAAAGAGTCAAAAGGTACCAAAGAAAATATTCTTGTTAAGTACATATTACACTTAATCTGTGAAACAAGCATKACTAAKTACTGCTAAATTTTTGAATTGGAAACAAATACATTAGACTAATTTATTATTATTTTGTACAAACTAAGTTTTGCAATTTCAGTGGTGTCAGCTCTAGCCCCTCCCCCTGTGACGATGAATTAAAATTCTAAATAGTTACTRTAAACAAAGACTTTTTATTAACTGACTATTAGTCACTATCATTCAGCTGGGATATTCTTCGTAACAATACATTCTGTACACCTGGGAAAAGGAATAAAAATAAAAACTATAAGAACACACAAGAAGAACTATTAGGTACATKTAGTAACTATTTAGATTTTTAGCACATTGTTCATACCTTATTAATGTTTCAGCTCTTACAGTTAGAATGAAAGTAACATTGGAGCTCTCGACTGAAGACAAATTCTTTCATCGCCCTTTTGTGACAACATATTCATACTTCAAAAGGTTTACACTGAGACAATACCTTTGAATACTTCGAAGTAAAAATTAACAATAGATAACACCTTCATTTTTTGTAACACAAGCAAGCAATTCCACAAAATRGCTATAAATTCTTCTAGATAGTCAATGTCGACCCTGTCTTCATGTTCCTTGTCCATAAATGGCAGCTTAAAATAAAATAAAATTTTAATTTATTGGCATAGCATTTTCTCACTTAAATACATATACATATGACTAACATATTGTGTAAATATGTCGGACTAGCACTTTAAAGGCATACATTCAACATTCATTTGATTTAGTTTGTCGTAATTBTAATGTTTATTATTTTGATATTATAGGTGACCTAATTGCAAGCCATGGATACTCGAGGATATATACTACCAATATGAGCCAAAAAATGCCATCCAGCATGGCCTTCTTAAGCAGGTGTTTTTATTTTCAGTCCATGCAGAAATTGAGCAATTCCATAAAGGCCTCAACTCAATCAAAGGTTTTGGGGATCTGGCTATGAAAAATCCAGATATATTTAAGATTATCTTTTCTGATGCCATTGAAAAGCTTAATCTTCAAAGTTTCAAGAAGCTGTATTATATTAATTATGCATAGTTTGGCTCAAATGCTCGTAACAAGGAGGAGAAAACAATTTATTGTTTTGAACTGTTTCTTCAAGACCTGGAGGAGGAAGAAGTTGATGGCTTGGGTCTCAACGATCTATTGGCCTTCATCACCGGAGCAGACAGTATTCCACYTCTGGGCTTTGATACTCTAATAACCATAGAGTTTWATGACAAGGAAGATAATRTCAGTCGTTACCCATGGTCATCCACATGTTCACTCTCCCTGTACATACCAAGGGGAGTGGAAGAGCCACAGGATTTGAAAGAACTTATCGTACATGCTCTTGTTAATGGTGTTGGGTTTGGCAAATGCTAAAGACTAAGTACATACATTCCTAAGCTTCATTTTATTGTAGAGTTTATTGTTTTGTCACAGATGCATATGGACAGTTAATCCAAATACTGTACCCTACAGAAAAAGACAAAGTACATAGGAGGTATTCTTACAGGGCTCAAAATAACCACTGGACATATGCAGGATAAGATATCCTTGCAAATACATTTTTTGGAAGGTTGTGTCGAATTTTGAAAGGACAAAAACTCTATAGGATTACATTCTTTTAATTTATAGATTTTTGTATTCAGAAAGACCGGCAAGCATTTTAGTGYCATTCTTTTAACCAGGTTTATTAACGCAGGTTAAATAAAACCAACACAGATGGAACTAAAATATAAATTGCAAATTTACAATATAAATTACAATAAATATATAAATTACAATAAAGCTATGATTACTTGACAG